AGGTGAAATCAGTGAGAGATGTAGCAGAGGTGAAATCCACAAGAGATGTTGCAGGGGTGAAATCCATAAGAGATGTAGCAGAGGTGAAATCAATATCCTTGGCCACAGCTTGGGTATGGGGAAGTGAGAGATAGTGGGAGCCCAAGGGCCCAGGAAGGTGGTGTTGCCCTTTACAGTAACAGAGAAGGCAGGGTCAGGGTGAGGCTTTAGGGAGAAAGATAATGAGTTCCATTCTGGACATGTTGAGTTTAAGATTTTTACTGGACATCCAATTTGAGATATCTGAAAGGCAGTTGGAGATGCAAGACTGGAGGTCAGCAGAGGTTAGGGCAGGATAGGTAGATTTGAAAATCATCAGCTTAGAGAAAGAAGGTAATTAAATCCAGGACACTGATGAGATTGAGTAGTATAGACTGAGAAGAGGACCCTGGGTGGAAGAGGCTGTCCTTCCTCCTGTGCTGCAGGGGTACCAGGATGTGTCGCCCACCAGGCAGGAATCTTTCCCTTGGTTCCTAATTTACTTATCAGAGAAAAAAAGTTTTCCAGCGTGATGAATGGGATCATTCCTGTTTGAGGGATATATTTCAGGCTTTTCATCTGTCTTCAGAGCCTAACTTTGCTTTTTTTTGGTAGCCATCTCCTATATCCAGTGATTTTCATTCACCTTTGGGGAAAGAAGGGACTTGGATTATAGAGAGAGGAATTGACTTTCCATTACTTAGCAGATTATCTCATGGGGCTGTAGGTATAGCAAATTTTGAAGAAGCACGGGATGTGTTTAAGGAGATGTGACCTAGTTTAAGTAGGAGTAAATAATGAGGACAAATAAAGTGGTTTGTTTAAGGCCAGGGGAGGAAAGAAGCAGCAACCGAGGGACTTTAGACTCTTATGTAACAGGTTGTTTTTGTCTTTGTTTTATCAGTCAGTCAATACATACTTAATAAGTGCCTCCTGTGTGCCAAGCACTGCTAAGCCCTGGGGATACAGAACAAGGAGCCCAGTCTAATGAGGAGACAACAAGCAAACACATATATACAAAGTGAGCTTTGTGCAGGATAAATTTGTTGCTCAGTTGGTTCAGTCTTGTCCTCTGACTCTTCTGACCCCATTTGGGGTTTTCTTTTCTTTTCTTTTTTTTTTTTTTTAGGCAATTGGGGTTAAGTGGCTTGCCCAGGGTCACACAGCTAGTAAGTGTCAAGTGTTTGGTCTGAGGTCAGATTTGAACTCAGGTCCTCCTGACTTCAGGGCCAATGCTTTATCCACTGTGCCACCTAGCTGCCCCTTGGGGTTTTCTTTTCAAAGATGCTGTAGAAGTTTGCCATTTCCTTCTCCAGCTCATTTCACAGATGAGGAAACTGAGGCAAACAGGGTTAGGTGACTTGCCCAGGGTCACACATCAGGTAAGTGTCTGAGGCTGGATTAGAACTCAGGAAAATGAGTCTTCCTGACTCAAGGCTGACACTATATCCACTGTGTCAGGTAGCTGCCC